ATTCAGGGAAACTGGTTATTTTCATATAGTCGGACTTGAGTCCTGGAAATGGGAAGTACAATGCCTGCACTTTAAAGGAGGGGTTTGGGATATTGGCAGTTTGGAGGGATATGTTGTGTATCTTTATACATATATGCTTCTAAACTGTTGTATTCTGAGCACCTCTGCAAAAGCAGTGATAATGTGTGAGTGTGGTGAAAGTGTTGAATGATGATGAAAGTATTTTCTTTTTGGGAATTTTCTTTCTTTTTTTGGGTCACCCTGCCTCGGTGGGAGACGACCGACTTGTTGAAAAAAAAAAAAAAAAAAAATTAATAATTTTCTAAAAAAGACCCAATACCTCTATAACAAGCACTGCCCTAAAAAAACTAAACAGATGACAGCTAAGAGACTGAACAGTCCCTGGCTAACACCCAGCATTCTCAAATCCATAAATACAAAACACTGATATGAAAAACAGTACAGAATGGGTCACATAACCAGAGACCAAACAAAACGTTACTCGTCATTCCTAACCAGCCTGATAAGAAGGGCAAAAAAATTGTATTATGAGAACAGATTATCCAACTTATGAGGTTATATAAAAAAGACCTGGAAAACCCTATCAGAAATTCTAGGAACAAAAAAGATATCACAAAATAGCAAAATAAAATTAGCAAAATCAGATGAGCCCCAACTCCCACCAACAGAAACAGCAAACAGACTCAATGATTTCTTCTCTACTATAGGACAAAACCTTGGCAATAAAATCCCAAGCTCAGATACCCCACCAAATGACTACCTCACTGGCAACTACCCGAACACACTGTTCCTAGCTCCGACTAATCCATACGAAGTCTCCCTTATTATCAACGCACTAAAAAACAAGGCAGGAGATTTAAATACCTTACCACCCTTTATATACAAAAAAGTGTCACAAGTGCTATCACCAATCATTGCAACACTCTTTAACAAATCCATTGAATCCTCCACCTTCCCTACAGTTCTCAAAATAGCAAGGGTCAACCCGATCCATAAAGGAGGAGACCAAATAGAGTTGAATAACTATACACCAATATCCAACTTACACCATCTCTCAAAAATCTTCGAAAAATTAATTCATAAATGAATCTACTCCTACCTCATCTCCCAAAACATACTCAACCCCTGCCAATTTGGATTCAGGTCTAATAAAAATACTAATGATGCTATTATACACATGCTAGAACACGTATACACTGCAATAGAGAAAAAAGAAGTCCCACTGGGGATCTTCATTGACTTACGTAAAGCTTTTGATACAGTTGACCATGACTTGCTCCACATAAAATTGTCCCACTATGGTATAAGAGGGCACTCCCTCAACTACCTCAAGTCATACCTCAGCAACAGAAGCCAATATGTGTACGCAAATGGGGCAAACTCTTCTGCACAACCAATTACAGTTGGTGTCCCACAGGGAAGTGTCCTTGGCCCTCTTCTCTTACTCCTATACATAAATGACCTACCAAATGCTTCGCAATTACTCAAACCCACACTATTTGCAGATGACACTACATACGTCTTCTCTCACCCGAGCCCAGTCACGCTAGCCAATACTGTAAATACCGAATTACAGAAAATATCTACCTGGATGAGGACAACAAACTTACACTAAACATTGACAAAACCTACTTCATTCAGTTTGGTAACAGAGCTACAGATGTCCCTCTTAACATAATGATAAACGGATCACCTATCAAAAAGCTAAGAGAGGGAAAATTCTTAGGAATCCACCTTGATAATAGACTCAAATTTCATACACATATACAACAAATTTCTAAGAAAATTTCCAAGACCGTAGGCATACTATCGAAGATACGGTACTATGTTTCACAGTCAGCCCTCCTGGCCCTATATCACTCTCTTATTTACCCCTATCTCACCTATGGAATTTGTGCATGGGGCTCAACAACAATTAACCATCTCAGACCACTAATTACCCAACAAAAGGCTGCAGTCAGAATGATAACAAATTCCCACTACAGGCAGCACACTCCACCAATATTCAAAACACTAAACCTACTCACCATACAAAACATCCATACTTATTACTGCACTATTACATACATAGAACACTTAACTCTGATATTAACCCTCCCCTCAAACATCTCCTTGCCAACCTCAACAGAACACATGACCATAACACAAGGCACAGATCACTCTTTGATGTTCCTCGTGTCCATCTCACACTATGCAAAAACTCAATGCACATAAAAGGCCCTAAAATCTGGAATTCATTACCTGTAAATATAAAAGAAACACTACCTGTTTATAAATTCAAGTCTCTTCTCAAAGATCACTAACTCACCCAAAACCAAATAAATACTGAATAACTTAACCTTATAAATTGTATACCTTAAATGTTTCTCACAATTATATCACATAAATGTTAAACCTAAGACCCAATCTAACTTTGTTATCTTTTAAATACACTACCTAACAGAATACTCCATTCTATTGAATGTACAGCAATGCATGCAGCCACATGACCTGTCTTTGTAATACTCATTTGTGCTTTATTGTTATCTGTTTACAATAATGTTTTATCACTGATTACATCATTGCTTAGTTAATCTTAAGTTAATTTTAAGCCAGCCCGTAATGCTATGCATACAAGTGGCATGCTGCTCTTACCTGTATTTTTTTGTACCTCTGTATGTATGTTCAAATTATTAAAATAAATAAATAAAATAAAATAAATAAATAAAATAAAATAAATAAATAAAATAAATACTGTGTCTTATTAACTTGCTATATGTACAGGCAATAGGTTTAGTCTCCATCCATTCTTCTGTTTATTCACAGACAGTTGTTCATTTTGACTTACCTTGGATTTATAACTGCAAGAGCTAAACAATAAGAGATATGAAGGAAGACTGAAAGCACTGGATGTGCTGTCACTGGCTGATAGGAATAAAAAGTGAGACATGACAATCACATTCATGATCAGAAAAGGATATGATGGAAATAACAAGTAAGGCTTCTAAATGTCATTAGCTAGAAGAATAAGAGGCCATAACTATAAACTATAACCCTTTCAGCTGTATAAATTACTAAAAGGAGAAAGGAGAAAATTTTCAAGGTGGGATGTTTGAGTGTGTGTGGGTGTTGGTGCCATCCCTGACATTTGATAACTCCTCAAAATATACCTGCCATCTTACCAGTACCTCCACCTTTCCATTCAATAGATCCCTTCTTTTGTTTTTATCTCGGTTGAAAACTTTTTCTTACTCTCAAAAAAAATATGTTAAAAGTTCACTCACTCCCTGGCTCTCTCTTGCTCTCTCTCACCACTCTTTTAACCTCTCGTTTATTCTGCATATACTCCACCCTCTGTATATCACTTCTACATTACAAAAATCCCTCATATGGTAACTTTGTCTTCCTTATCATCCTCTTTACCTCATCATTCAACCAATCACTCTTCTTCCCTCACATGCCCACCCTCTTATATCCACAAACTTCTGCTGCACACTCTTAAACCTACTCTATACCTGAAACCCCCTCATTACCTGTATATACTGCCTCTAGCCCACTTTTCTCCCAGTAGTTACTTATATTTTACCCTTACTATTAAACTCTCATTTCTCTCTTACCCCTCCTTGTAACCCATCTACCTCTGCCTCTTACTGTATCTACCAATAATAATGTGATCTGATACATCTGTTTGCCCTCTAAAAACATGTACATCCAGAAGTCTACCCCCTCAACCTTTCATCTACTAATACACAGTCTAACAATAGGCTGTTATTACAACCAACAAAATACCATGTATACTTATTTATCTTCTTTTCCTTAAAATAATGTATTACCTATTACCACACCTCTACACAGTTGACCCCTGACATTCCAAGTTTACCTACTATACCCTCTACAACAGTTTCTCCAACTTTAGCATTCTAGTCCCCCACAATTACTTTTCTTACTTGGTTCAAAACTCCCTAAATACCTGCTTAATATCTCCCCAAATCTCTCTCCTCTGCACATTTCTCTTTCCCTGGTGCATAAGTACTTATTATAACCCGCTTTTCACATCAGACCCATATTCTAATCCATATAATTCTTGAATTTATAAATCTACATCCTTTCTTCTCCTTCCATAACTGACCATTTAACATTACTGATATCCTTTCTTTTCCTCTAGCTCTCTCAAACACACCTGATTCAATCCCATTCGCTCCTTCCCAATTATATTCTCCTACCCCCCTTTACCTTTGTTTCACTTAAGAGCTAGGACATCCAGCTTCATTTCATTCATAACATTCACAATTAATTTTTTATCATTTGTACTACACCTAAGATTATTCAAAACATTCCAGCTTTAAAAGTTTCTTCTCTGATTTACTAATTTATTTAGGAGAAGGGATTACTAGCCCTCTGCTCCAGGCACTTTAGTCACTCTTTACAACAGCATGGAGATGAATGGAACTACTACAAGAACAAGAACTACAGGTACAACATCAATTTTCTGGACACACATGGTCTGGAACCATACAAATTTACGAGCACGAACTTGAAATTCCCACAGCAGTGTATATACCACCAAACTGTATGTCACTTATCCAACCCCAAGACCAAGGAATACTGTGCTCTCTAAGGGAGGAAACATAATTAATCTGGAAAGGCTTTGGAACCAAAGGTCCAGAAAATTGATGTTGTACCTGTATTAAGAAATTAGAAGAAAACTCAGATAAGTGTGTGTATACATACATGTACGTACATGTACAACTGCATGTATAGTAAACTAAGTGTAAGTAATAGAAGCAAGATTTACCTGTCATTTTAAGTGTTTATGAGACAGAAAGAAAAGATGCCAGCAATCATACCATTGAGTGCAGCAATTACAGGCTTCTGTTTCACATTCATCTGGTAGGATGGTAGTACCTCCTTGGGGAATTAGTGTCTACAAAACAACTACCTATACAAAAATGTACATCTATACATATTCGCTTTTCCACAGTATAAAAAATATTACGCACCATCATTGTTTGATTCGCCGTTTTCTCTAGGAAGCTCAGGAAACTCGAGGCTGGAAGTTCTGCTTGGGTGAGAAACTGGGGTTTTGCCTTAAAAAATTTAAGCACAATTAATGTTAACTTGTTTTTAAATTTGTTAACACTTTGTCATGTATAGTCAGAGGTTTACTCTGTAACTTAATGGAAAATTGTAGTTATATGCAATATATTTTCAAGCACAGTATCATATAATGGAAGAGAAATTCACAAAGTTACAGTGAAAATATTTTTACCAGTTAATTTAGTTGTATTTTTTGTAGCTGTTGGTCTCCCTCTAAATTTCATTACTTCAACTTTTTTAAATCTTGGTTCTTCAGGTGGAAAACCTGCCTGTTGGTTTTCATGATCTCTTATGGCCTTCAACTCGTCCAACTCTTTAATTCTGTTTTCAACAGCTTTCTTGGCCTCCAAATATTCTAGTTCTGCAATTTCGACTAGCAATGAAAACAGGAAAAATTAGTTTTGTTAATAGGGAAGTACTGTTCTTCATCGCACTTTGTTACAGTTCTCACCATCACTGTGAGAGCTGTCAAGTTCTGTTGTCAGTTCACCATTTCTTAACAGACTGTCTGTCTATCAGCTTGCACACACAATTTACTTCTGATGTTGTCACCACCCTAATGCACTTACTTTATCTGACCTAACCTACAGCCCCACCTTTGATGCAGACTCCCTCTTTAACTTTTTGCCACAACCTGCCTTATTACATCAGCTTTGATTATATTTTCCCTTTAGTGCACTTCACCACCCTAGCTAACTCTGCCTCTTGTATACTCCTATCCTCTCATCTTCACATATTTTATCTTAAACACATCCTACTCTGCAGTGTTGTATGACCCTTGTAGGTATACTGCTTACTTTTGATTGTAATAATAATAATAATAATTAGTTTGTCAGTGTAGAATGTAAATTTCTCACAATTTCATTTATATGATCTTCCAGTGAAATTTTTTGGTTAATACAGGTCAGACATCACTAATCCGGCAATCAGTTATCCAGTTCCATCAGTAATCTGGCACTAATTTCGGCTAACATAATTTCAAATTTCATCATTACACTGACTCAAATCATTATACTGACTCAAATTTCATCATTATACTGACTCAGAAATTGTGCAGATGGTTGTAAATCCACAGCAGAAAGCCAGTGGAGGAGAAAACAGTGATGAAAATGAGGAAGATGTAGCAGAAAGTCTTTATTAATAGGTTAATTAAGTGCATTCTAACCTAACCACTTTGTAATCCAGCAAACTCACTAATCCGGCACACTACAGGTCCCAATGATGCTGGATTAGTGATGGACGACCTGTAATAATTCCTAGATTCCTTTCTCTAAATGATATTTTCAATATTTTGTCAGAGTCTATATTCTTCATGTGGCCTGATTTCACTTTCTCCCACTTCTCCCTTAGCACTAATCTACATTATTTCTATCATCCACCGATCACTTCTCGTGCTCAATGTACAGTATCTACATCCTCTCATAAAGATTTAGTCATTTTCATTATTAATTTTACATATGCTTTTTGCATTACCTGCAAACCTATTTTTATAATATTTTATTCCTTCTGGTAAATCATTTATATAAAGTAGAAACATTATTGGGACAAATACAGAATGTTGTGGCATCCCACTTGTGACATCTCCCATGTAGATATATTTCCTCTTTTATGGGGAACACTATAACAGTTTTCTTAAAGTCCAGGTAAATGCAATCTGCCCATTGATTGAACAATTACTGTAACTCTGCCATAATAACTTAACAAATTTGATATACAGTGGAACCTCTGTTTTTTAATTCATTCCAGATGTCGATTTGATGACCAATATTGACGACAACCAAAGCAATTTTTCCCATAAAGAATAATGTAAATAGAATTAATCAGTTCCAGACCCCAAATGAAATATAATAATATTTTAATAATGTACTATTATATAAAACAAGATATAAAATTATACAGCACAGGGAAACTGTAAACATGAATACTAAATGAAAATTTAACTGAAATACTGAATACTAAATGAAAATTTAACTGCCCCTTACCTAACAGAGGAGAGCTAATGGCATACTGAAAGCAGGGGGGGATGTTACTGCTTGGAAAGAGAGTCACCTTCTGTTAATATGTCAGGCAACTGTCCTTCTAGTGTTCTCTTCTTTGTCTCTTTTCACAACTAACACCTTGTTCTGGCTCACTGGTTCTTTGTCTCGCTAAAAACCTGTCCAGTGAGGTCTATTTCAAGTTCCATTTTAACACTTGTCTAAATTGAGACATTACACTGTCATTGTAAATGTTAGAGAGATGAATGGCCACTGCTTTGTCTGGATATTATATTTCAGCAAACTCACGTGACCTGAGCCATTTTGTCCCGTTCCATACATGCAAAAACTTGTCTGTTGACAACCAAGAGAACGTATAAAAACCAGAACATTTTTACTCAAGCACTTCATTTGAAATCCAATTTATTTGACAAGTAATGCAATCAACAACTGAGGTTCCACTGTAAGTATATGAATGTGCAGATAGAAAACCAAATTGCTTACCAGTTAGCATGTTATTATTCTGTAAGTGTTGAATTCACTTTAATGTTTTTTTCTAATCCAGTCATGAAGCTACCCTTCCCTTCCTTGGATCAAACCTGACTACTTCAACCCTTCCCATTATCCTCAAGAACTGCATGACCCATATGGCTTTGGCACTTTCATAAGAACATAAGAAATGAGGAACACTGCAGGAGGCCTGCTGGCCCATACTAGGCAGGTCCTTTACAATTCATCCCACTAACAAAACATTTGCCCAACCCAATTTTCAATGCCACCCAAGAAATAAGCTCTGATGTGAAAGTCCCACTCAAATCCAACCCCTCCCACTCATGTACTTATCCAACCTAGATTTGAAACTACCCAAAGTCCCAGTCTCAATAACCCAACTAGGTAGACTGTTCCACTCATCAACTACCCTATTTCCAAACCAATACTTTCCTATGTCCTTTCTAAATCTAAACTTATCTAATTTAAATCCATTACTGCAGGTTCTCTCTTGGAGAGACATCCTCAAGACCTTATTAATATCCCCTTTATTAATACCTATCTTCCACTTATACACTTCGATCAGGTCTCCCCTCATTCTTCGTCTAACAAGTGAATGTAACTTAAGAGTCTTCAATCTTTCTTCATAAGGAAGATTTCTAATGCTATGTATTAATTTAGTCATCCTACGCTGAATGTTTTCTAACGAATTTATGTCCATTTTGTAATACGGAGACCAGAACTGAGCTGCATAATCTAGGTGAGGCCTTACTAATGATGTATAAAGCTGCAGTATGACCTCTGGACTTCTGTTGCTTACACTTCTTGATATAAATCCCAGTAATCTATTTGCCTTATTACTTACGCTTAGGCATTGCTGTCTTGGTTTAAGGTTGCTGCTCACCATAACCCCCAAGTCCTTTTCGCAATCTGTATGGCTAAGTTCTACATCATTTAACTTATAAGTACTAGGGTTATGGGCACTCCCAAGCTTCAGAACCTTGCATTTATCTACAATGAACCAAGATGTTGATAATGTTGTAAAGCATATACAGTATAACTCTGGAAGACACTACTAAGAATACACAATAACATGAAGTACAACAAAGATTAGTAAAAAAAAATACAATACTAATGATGAACAGAATCTTAAGATTCAATGGCAAAAAATTATGTATCACTGCACACAAGGGCAAAATATGAATGACAGTAACACTCAATGTATTATAATTAAAAAAATAAAGAAGGTATAAGCTGGATTAGGTAGTAAGTTAATAAATGCTCTAAAGAGTTTTTGAGGATAGTGAGGCTCAGGTTAGGGTGTGGAGGAGAGGAAATTACTTTCCAGTAAAAGTAAGTCTTAGACAGGAATGTGTAATGTCATCATGGCTGTTTATCATCATTACAGATGGAGTTCTAAAAGAAGTAAATGCTAGGGTGTTAGGGAGAGGGGTGGGATTAAATTATGGGGAATCCAATACAAAATGGGAGTTGTCACAGTTCCTTTTTGCTGATGATACTGTGCTTTTGGGAGATTCTAAAGAGAAGTTGCAAAGGTTTGTGGACGAGTTTGGGAGGGTGTAAAAAGAAAGTTGAAAGTGAACATAGATAAGAGTAAGGTGATAACAATAGCAAATGAGTTAGGTAAAGAAAAATTTGGTTTCACATTGTAGGGAGAGAATATGGAAGAAGTGAATGTGTTCAGATATTTGGGAGTAGATTTGTCAACAGATGGGTTTATGAAGGACGAGGTTAACCATAGAATTGATGAAGGAAAAAAGGTGAATGGTGCATTAAGGTGTCTGTGGAGACAAAAAAAAAACGTTATCCATGAGGGCAGAGAAGGGAAAGTAAGAGAGTATAGTGGTACCAACACTCTTATATGGGTGTGAAGCATGGGTTGTGAATGCTGCAGTGAGAAGGAGGCTGTTGGGTCTGAGAGAAATGTGTGGCTTAAATATTATGCATAGAATTCATAGTGTAGAAATTAGTAGGTGTGGAGTTACAAAAAATATTGTTCAAAGGGCTGAAGAGGGATTATTGAGGTGGTTTGGTCATTTAGAAAGGATGGAGCATAATAGAATGACTTGGAGGGTGCATAAATCTGTGGTGGAGGGAAGGAGAGGTAGGGTTTGTCCTAGGAAAGTATGAAGGGAGGGGTAAAAGAGGTTTTGTATGCAAGGGGCCTGGACATGCAGCAGGCATGTGTGATCATGTTAGATAGGAGTGAATAGAGACAAATGGATTTTGGGACTTGACGAGCTGTTGGAGTGTGAGCATGGTAATATTTTTATGAAGGGATTCAGGGAAACTGGTTAGCAGGACTTGAGTCCTGGAGGTGGGAAGTACAATGCCTGCACTTTAAAGGAGAGGTTTCAGATACTGGCTGGTTGGAGTGACATCTAAACTATCATATCTGGGCATCTTTGCAAAGACATTGATTTTGTGTGAATAATGGTGAAGTGTTGAATGATGGTGAAAGTGTCTCTTTTTTGGGTCACCCTGCCTCGGTGGGAGATGGCCGGCGTGTAGAAAAAAATAAGCTGGTGATGATGTAATGCATATATATAATTTCAGGCTGAGTGAAGACTGATAATATTGCAAATCAAAATATTAAAAAATTAAAATATAGCTGGAATAGTGTTCTGGTGAACTTTAAACTAAGCAGATAATGGCACACTGTATGTATAACACCTGATATAATATTAGTGTTTAACACAATTTACAAGATGAAAAACAAGATTTTAGATTATTCATCTGGAGGGCTAATAACCTAGGTTAACCCATGAAAATCACTCATTGTTAGTAATTTCCATTAGGGTCCTTCAATCATCTTTTCCAGGCAGCGACCAACAACAGTCAAAAAACACCTGGTACCTACTTACTATGTATTAGGAACAATAAATGAAAGGAAGAATGCCAATGATCTCACTGACGTTACCAAGTCATCAGCTGTTGGGAAGTCTTTGATATTTTCATAAAATACTCTGACCTACTCTAAACCTAAATTACACTGTTGGAAAACTTGCTGATATATGTTAACAAGTTAAAGAAACTGGTGCCTGGATACCTGCCATGACTCTGATGAATATTTTAAGGAAACAATCTTATCTCCATTATCGAACTTTCACTTTTCAAGTTCTGCAATATTTACCTGCACCTGGAGTTTACCTGGAGAGAGTTCCGGGGGTCAACACCCTCGCGGCCTGGTCTGTGACTAGGGCCTGATCAACCAGGCTGTTACTGCTGGCTGCACGCAATCCAACGTACAAACCACAGCCCAGCTGGTCAGGTACCAACTTTAGGTGCTTGTCCAGTGCCTGCTTGAAGACAGCCAGGGGTCTATTGGTAATCCCCCTTATGTATGCTGGGAGGCAGTTGAACAGTCTTGGGCCCCTAACACTTATTGTGTTGCCTCTTAACGTGCTAATGACACCCCTGCTTTTCATTGGGGATGATGTTGCATCGCCTGCCGAGTCTTTTGCTTTTGTAGGGAGTGATTTTTGTGTGCAAGTTTGGTACTAGTCCCTCTAGGATTTTCCAGGTGTATATATTTATGTATCTCTCCCGCCTGCATTCCAGGGAGTACAGGTTCAGGAACTTCAAGCGCTCCCAGTAACTGAGGTGTTTTATCTCAGTTATGCATGCTGTGAAGGCTCTCTGTACATTTTCTAGGTCGGCAATTTCACCTGCCTTGAAAGGTGCTGTTAGTGTGCAGCAATATTCCAGCCTAGATAGAACAAGCGACCTGAAGAGTGTCATCATGGGCTTGGCATCCCTAGTTTTGAAGGTTCTCATTATCCATCCTGTCATTTTTCTAGCAGATGCGACTGATACAATGTTATGGTCCTTGAAGGTGAGATCCTCTGACATGATCACTCCCAGGTCTTTGACATCAGTTTTTCGCTCTACTGTGTGGTTAGAAATTGTTTTATACTCTGATGAAGTTTTAATTTCCTCATGTTTACCATATCGGAGTAATTGAAATTTCTCATCGTTGAACTTCATATTGTTTTCTGCAGCCCATTGAAAAATTTGGTTGATGTCCGCCAGGAGCCTTGCAGTGTCTGCAATGGAAGACACTGACATGCAGATTCGGGTGTCATCTGCAAAGGAAGACACGGTGCTGTGGCTGACATCCTTGTCTATGTCGGATATGAGGATGAGGAACAAGATGGGAGCGAGTACTGTGCCTTGTGGAACAGAGCTTTTCACCGTAGCTGCCTCAGACTTTACTCTGTTGACTACTACTCTTTGTTTTCTATTTGTCAGGAAATTATAGATCAATCTACCAACTTTTCCTGTTATTCCTTTAGCACGCATTTTGTGTGCTTTTACGCCATGGTCACACTTGGCGAAGGCTTTTGCTAAGCCTGTGTATATTACATTTGCATTCTTTTTGTCTTCTAGTGCATCTAGGACCTTGTCGTAGTGGAATTAGGCAACTAGAATTACACTTTTTCTAACTTTATAAAATGCCATATAGCCTAAATATTATGTGTAAGTTTATTTACAATACAAAATTTTTATTTCCTTATGTAATACATAAAATGTAGTTTACATGTAATAACACAGTGGGAGGCACAAAAAAAATGCCACTAATTATGTAAAGCATTTTGGGCAAACTAATCCTAATGCTTAAATGTTACTTAAGATCTAGACATAAACTAACAAGTAAGATTTCGTATGAAGTTAACTATAATCATATACAGTGGACCCCCGGTTTACGATCAGCTCCCAATGCGACCAATTATGTAAGTGTATTTATGTAAGTGCATTTGTATGTGTATGTTTGGGGGTCTGAAATGGACTAATCTAATTCGCAATATTCCTTATGGGAACAAATTCGGTCAGTATTGGCACCTGAACATACTTCTTGAATGAAATAATATCGTAAACCGGGGGTCCACTGTACTGTATATACAATAATAGAGGCAGCTAATGAACAATTGGTACAATTTCCAAAGTATGGCAATGCTGTTGCCTCACACAATGAGTGTCTGTGGTTCAATCCCTGGCTGGGTGGAAACATTGGGCGTATGTATTTCCTTACACTTGTTGTCCCTGTTCACCTAGCAATAAGTAGGTATATGGGTATTAATTGACTGGTGTGGGTTACATCCTGAGCACTGACTTTACTGGGTTATCCTGGGTGGTTAACCCTCTGGGTTAAAAATCTGAACAAATCTCATAAGTGTAGTTACACAAGTTTAGATGATTACATTTATCATACATACATGTGTAAATTACCTAGAATAACCTAAAAAAAAGTCAGTCAAACTGAAATAAGTAAATCATCCCAATGGAAAAAAAAGTCACTTTGACTTTTGTTTTTTTTGGGTTATCCTACATAATTTACACATATATTACTATGCAAAACAACCACAGCTCGTATACTGAGGTCCAGGGGTCAAGTCCCAGCCCGGGTGGAAGCATTAGGACGTGTTTCTTAAGGTACCTGCTGTCCCTGTTCACCTATCAGTAAAACAGGTACCTGGGTGTTAGTTGACTGATGTGGGTTGCATCCTGGGATAAAACTAACCTAATTTGCCCAAAATGCTCAGCATAACAAGCGGCTTTCTATATAGTAGTATGTCACTGATGTCAGCTAGGACTGTATACCTTGTACATGTACTTGTAGAAATAAAGATATTATTATTATATTATTAATACTTATTGTAGCACACATATTACTAAGTATGATACTTGTACTTATGTGTACCTGTGTTTAAATAAACTTACTTATTCCACTATGATCCTTATGTACTAATCAGTATTATTATTATTATTATCGTGGGAGAGCGCTAAACCCGTAGGATTATACAGCGCATGTGGGGGGGGGGATGGAAGGTATTCAGGCTCGATTCAGGGAACTGGAACACAGATCCAATTCCGTAGATCAAGAGCCCAGCCTCAAGGAACCTCCCTTGAGGGGTACTGATCAGTAATAATAATAATAAAGTCGTATCAGGTGCTGTATTTAAGAGTGAACTGAACATGTCATCTTACCTGACTTCACAGGCATCATGGTGATCTTCTTGCGGTGGTGACTACCTCCCACACTAACACTTAACCTAATTGCTTCTTCAGTCTTCTTCATTGTTCTAATTGACTGGGTAGACACATCATATTCCCTTGCCAGGTGACTAATTTTCACACCGTTTTTGAGTTTGTCCAGAATTTCGACTTTCTTCAGTAGAGTGAGTTGTCTGGGCTTCTTCCTCATTCTATCCAGCTCCAGGAGACTGATAGTCTTCCCGTCTGACATTCTAACTTCATGAGATTAATGTATGAGAATAAATGTAAACAATGCGACCATGAAAAATTTGTGTTGTTGTTTAGAGGTAATGTTAGGACGGCCCGAGGGCCGTGTGAACCCACCAGTTGGTGGCTCCGACCTGAGGGCCGTGTGAACCCACCAGTTGGTGGCTCCGACCTGAGGGCCGTGTGAACCCACCAGTTGGTGGCTCCGACCTGAGGGCCGTGTGAACCCACCAGTTGGTGGCTCCGACCTGAGGGCCGTGTGAACCCACCAGTTGGTGGCTCCGACCTGAGGGCCGTGTAAACCCACCAGTTGGTGGCTCCGACCTGAGGGCCGTGTGAACCCACCAGTTGGTGGCTCCGACCTGAGGGCCGTGTGAACCCACCAGTTGGTGGCTCCGACCTGAGGGCCGTGTGAACCCACCAGTTGGTGGCTCCGACCTGAGGGCCGTGTGAACCCACCAGTTGGTGGCTCCGACCTGAGGGCCGTGTGAACCCACCAGTTGGTGGCTCCGACCTGAGGGCCGTGTGAACCCACCAGTTGGTGGCTCCGACCTGAGGGCCGTGTGAACCCACCAGTTGGTGGCTCCGACCTGAGGGCCGTGTGAACCCACCAGTTGGTGGCTCCGACCTGAGGGCCGTGTGAACCCACCAGTTGGTGGCTCCGACCTGTGGGCCGTGTGAACCCACCAGTTGATGGCTCCGACATGAGGGCCGTGTGAACCCACCAGTTGATGGCTCCGACATGAGGGCCGTGTGAACCCACCAGTTGATGGCTCCGACCTGAGGGCCGTGTGAACCCACCAGTTGGTGGCTCCGACCTGAGGGCCGTGTGAACCCACAAGTTGGTGACCTCGACCTGAGCCAAGTAAGGAAAGATAAGATTTCGTTCGGATTTTTAACCCGGGAGGGTTAGGCACCCAGGATAACCTAAGAAAGGCAGTCCGTCATCAAGAACTGATTGTCTTATTTCCATTGGGGTCCTCAATATTAATAGTCCCCCAGGATGCGACCCACACCAGCTGACTAACACCCAGGTACCTATTTGCTGCTAGGTGAGCAGGACAACAGGTGTAAGGAAAGGCGTCAAAATATTTCCACCCTGCCGGGAATCGAACCCGGGCCCTCCAAGTGTGAAGCGAGAGCTTTTCCAGCCAGGCCCACGGGTCCAGGATGAACCTCACCATTTTGTTCTGGATGAGTTGTGGTCTATTTTTGTTGTTGTTGTTGTTTAGGCAGAGTACTATGAAGAGCAAGAGTAATGTATATGGTACTGTATAAGAGCTAGACATAGGGTCCTGCGAGCCTCAGTAGGTAGACACCGTGACTGTCTGTGGAGGAACTTCAGTCTGGTATTCGCTTTCTTAACTGCACTGTTCCCTACCAATTCTCTTGACAAACTTGAGTCAAAGGTGATTCCCAGATACTTCACTGAGGATACTGAAGTAATGGGCTCCCCATTACACTGGACATTAAAATTATTTACCCTTTTCAGTTTATTTTTCGTGCCTTTGTGGCTTCATAAATACATATGTAAAAACTATACATACATTTGTTCAATATCATGAACATAGGTAAAACATTATAATTAATATATAATTACTCTCAATATCAGTAATCCTCTCAGATGTTAAATATTTCACCGTATCCACCTCAGATTAATAATCAAAACTGTAATTCTTCTTTACCAAATTTATTAAAGCCATATAACATGAACTAATAGAATATTGTATTCTCTTGTATTCATTGTAACTCACCTAATGACCATTTGTACAAAATTACTGCATTATTATTGTTTTATTAATCAGAAGTTAGTCTAAAGTTTTCTGGAAATGTTCTGTATATGAGGGTCCTTTTGCCATATACACCAAATTGTTACACTTCTTTGTACAAACATAGATCATACTGAAATAAAATTATTATTATTATTATTATTATTATTATTATTATTATTATTATTATTATTATAGGTATCGGAGCCAGTGGCTGTCTTCAGGTACTTTCCATGCTAGCCGCTGTCCTCAGACGCAGTCTTATATTAAAAAGCGTTAAACCCGTTTGGGATATTGAGCACTAAATAGGCGGGAGGGGGGGGATAGGGGAGAGTCGGAAGCGTTGGGGCTATGGTTGAGGGTTGATAAAGTTACTATGGTTAAGGGTTGATAAAGTCACTGTGGTTGAGGGTTGATAAAGTTACTATGGTTGAGGGTTGATAAAGTTACTATGGTTGAGGGTTGATAAAGTTACTATGGTTGAGGGTTGATAAAGTCACTATGGTTGAGGGTTGATAAAGTTACTATGGTTAAGGGTTGATAAAGTCACTATGGTTGAGGGTTGATAAAGTTACTATGGTTGAGGGTTGATAAAGTCACTGTGGTTGAGGGTTGATAAAGTTACTATGGTTGAGGTTGATAAAGTTACTATGGTTGAGGGTTGATAAAGTTACTATGGTTGAGGGTTGATAAAGTCACTATGGTTGAGGGTTGATAAAGTTACTATGGTTAAGGGTTGATAAAGTCACTATGGTTGAGGGTTGATAAAGTCACTGTGGTTGAGGGTTGATAAAGTCAGTATGGTTGAGGGTTGATAAAGTTACTATGGTTAAGGGTTGATAAAGTCACTGTGGTTGAGGGTTGATAAAGTTACTATGGTTGAGGGTTGATAAAGTTACTATGGTTAAGGGTTGATAAAGTCACTGTGGTTGAGGGTTGATAAAGTTACTATGGTTAAGGTTGATAAAGTCACTGTGGTTGAGGGTTGATAAAGTTACTATGGTTGAGGGTTGATAAAGTTACTATGGTTGAGGGTTGATAAAGTTACTATGGTTAAGGGTTGATAAAGTCACTGTGGTTGAGGGTTGATAAAGTTACTATGGTTAAGGGTTGATAAAGTCACTGTGGTTGAGGGTTGATAAAGTTACTATGGTTAAGGGTTGATAAAGTCACTATGGTTGAGGGTTGATAAAGTTACTATGGTTGAGGGTTGATAAAGTTACTATGGTTAAGGGTTGATAAAGTCACTGTGGTTGAGGGTTGATAAAGTTACTATGGTTAAGGGTTGATAAAGTCACTATGGTTGAGGGTTGTTTAAAGTTACTATGGTTGAGGGTTGATAAAGTTACTATGGTTAAGGGTTGATAAAGTCACTGTGGTTGAGGGTTGATAAAGTTACTATGGTTAAGGGTTGATAAAGTCACTGTGGTTGAGGGTTGATAAAGTTACTATGGTTGAGGGTTGATAAAGTTACTATGGTTGAGGGTTGATAAAGTTACTATGGCTGAGGGTTGATAAAGTCACTATGGTTGAGGGTTGATAAAGTTACTATGGTTAAGGGTTGATAAAGTCACTATGGTTGAGGGTTGATAAAGTCACTGTGGTTGAGGGTTGATAAAGTCAGTATGGTTGAGGGTTGATAAAGTCACTGTGGTTGAGGGTTGATAAAGTCATTATGGTTGAGGGTTGATAAAGTCACTATGGTTGAGGGTTGATAAAGTCACTATTGGTTGAGGGTTGATAAAGTCACTATGGTTGAGGGTTGATAAAGTCACTATGGTTGAGGGTTGATAAAGTCACTATGGTTGAGGGTTGATAAAGTCACTATGGTTGAGGGTTGATAAAGTCACTATGGTTGAGGTTGATAAAGTCACTATGGTTGAGGGTTGATAAAGTCACTATGGTTGAGGTTGATAAAGTTACTATGGTTAAGGGTTGATAAAGTCACTGTGGTTGAGGGTTGATAAAGTCACTGTGGTTGAGGGTTGATAAAGTCAGTATGGTTGAGGGTTGATAAAGTCACTGTGGTTGAGGGTTGATAAAGTCATTATGGTTGAGGGTTGATAAAGTCACTATGGTTGAGGGTTGATAAAGTCACTATGGTTGAGGGTTGATAAATTTCACTATGGTTGAGGGTTGATAAGTCACTATGGTTGAGGGTTGATAAAGTCACTATGGTTGAGGGTTGATAAAGTCACTATGGTTGAGGGTTGATAAAGTTACTATGGTTGAGGGTTGATAAAGTTACTATGGTTAAGGGTTGATAAAGTCACTATGGTTGAGGGTTGATAAAGTCACTATGGTTGAGGGTTGATAAAGTCACTATGGTTGAGGGTTGATAAAGTCACTATGGTTGAGGGTTGATAAAGTCACTATGGTTGAGGGTTGATAAAGTCACTATGGTTGAGGGTTGATAAAGTCACTATGGTTGAGGGTTGATAAAGTCACTATGGTTGAGGGTTGATAAAGTCACTATGGACCAGTCGCCTTCATTAATAAAATGACATAAACAACAGATTATGTCTTCATTTTCACCGCTAGTGCAAGATGTTAGTCGTTAGTGATAAGAACATAAGAACATAAGAACGAAGGAACACTGCAGAAGGCCCACTGGCCCATGCGAGGCAGGTCCAAGTCCCTACCGGCTTAAGCCAATGCACCCAACCTAGTCAGGTCAGGTCACACTGACTTAAGGGAGGAACACGGCAACCGACCTGTTAGCACAAGCTATCAGGTCTAACTCACACCCACCCACATCTACTCATGTATTTATCCAACCTATTTTTAAAGCTACACAACGTTCTGGCCTCTATAACGGTACTTGGGAGTTTGTTCCACTCATCCACAACTCTATTACCAAACCAGTACTTTCCTATATCCCTCCTGAATCTGAATTTTTCCAACTTAAAACCATTGCTGCGAGTCCTGTCTAGGCTAGATATTATCAGCACACTATTTACATCCCCTTTATTTATTCCTGTCTTCCACTTATAAACTCAATCATATCCCCCTAATTCTACGTCTTTCTAGAGAGTGCAGTTTCAGGGCCCTTAGTCTATCCTCATAGGGAAGGTTTCTGATACATGGGATCATCTTTGTCATCCTCCTTTGTACATTTTCAGAGAATTTATATCCATTCTGTAATACGGTGACCAAAACTGTGCAGCATAATCTAAATGAGGCCTAACCAAGGATGTATAGAGTTGAAGAACAACCTGAGGACTCCTATTATTTATGCTTCTTGATATGAAGCCAAGGATTCTATAGCTTTATTGCGAACACTTATGCACTGTTGTCTTGGTTTCAGATTACTGCTAACCAGAACTCCTAAATCTTTTTCGCAATCCGTAATATTAAGATCTA